AGACGAAATAACAGTAATAGAGAGTATGATTGTTGTAAGACGAAATAACAGTAATACAGAGCATGATTGTTGTAAGACGAAATAACAGTAATAGAGAGCATGATTGTTGTAAGACCCTTTATAAAAAAGGCAGTTTGGAGAGGACTACTGCGCCTTGAGAAGAATGATGCAGTAAAAGATGACCATCTAGGGAAAAGGGAGGGAAGGGGGATGGGGGGGGGGGGGGAGTGGTCTCCAACATTTTTCAGGTGGCACTCTCCTTGGATACATGGCAAGAAAAACAAAAGATAAAGAAAGAGAAAGCATTAAAAATGAGGGAAGGAAGGAGGGGGGGGGGGGCAGAGAGAGAGAGAGAAAGAGAGAGAGAGAGAAAGAGAAAGAGAGAGAAAGAGAGAGAGAAATAGAGAGAGAGATGAAGCATACATTAGGTTCCAGTGATACTATGACATTTTACGTTGGAACAGTTTAAAAATCATTGAATCTGCCAAACACCTATCTGAGGGGATTAGGGGTGGGAGGGGGGGATGGGGTTTAAGAGGGCGGCGGCAAGTGGACACAATGCTCTACCTTTATAACACAAACATGCACATCCGCGCGCGCGCGCGCGCACACACACACACATATTTATACACACACAGAAAAAAACGTCACCTACTCTCTTCCCTAGCAGTACCACATGAGAGAAATGCCCTGCCAATGGTAAACAAATATGGTAACCTTGGGGAAGGAGCAGGAGTAGGAGGAGGAAGAAGAAGAGGATGGGGAGGATGTCAAAGATTACCATTACCATAGAAAATGACATAGAATGCTTAAATGAACCTGTCCGTCCGTCCGTCCATCTACCTACCTACTTAACTACTTCCATCCATCCATCCATTCATCCATCCATCCATCCGTCCGTCCGTCCGTCCGTCTGTCCATGTCTGTCTGTCTGTCTGTCTGTCTGTATCCATATATATATATCTATCTATCTATATATATATATCTATATATATATATATATATATATATCTATATATATATATATCTGTCTGTCTGTCTGTCTGTCTGTATGTCTGTCTGCCTGTCAGTGTCTGTCTGTCAGTCAATCTATCTATCTATCTTACCTACCTACCTTTCTACCCGCCATCTCTAAGCTATCTATCCCGTATACCCCATTGTCAATCTTCTTATTATAAAGTTCCTTCGTTCGTCCTATATGTCGCTCTATTTTTCTCTGTGTTTTTCTCGCTGTTTAGCCGACTCGTGTTGCTCGACTCTCTCTCACTCCTCACACCTCCATCAAATCCACAGCGGGTAGTAACCAGACAGAGACGCAACAGGAGGCACCCGTGTTGGACATGTTCAAGATTACAAGATGTCTATGCAGCGTCTGTAAATATAATTTGATTTAATAAGCAATGGGATGGGGTGAGGGCCTCTCTAACGGTACGCTCATCGCCGGGCTGCCCTGGTGTCTCCAGTCTCTGGGAACATGGAGCAGACGAACTCGGCAGAAGATTTCCAGCCGATGAAGTAGAGTTGAGAACTGACCTCGCAGCAATCTGGGCATTCCCACAATCTCTCATCCACCAGCTTTGAACAGCCGGCAGTGAAGGGTGTGGATTCTTATCTCACCAACATCGGTCTGATTTGGGTCCGCGTTACCTTTCCTCCGAGTGAAAAGTGTCGACCAGATCTTCCCCGTGTAGGTTCCAAGGACAATTGTTTTCAGGGTTACGAAAGAGGAGGTCGGGGGGGGGGGGGGTGGGGAATAGGACCACGTCTCATAAAAGACGACTCAATAAGGATGTTTTTGTCGAAGTCGGAGTGCATCAGCCTGAGACGCAAGGAACCAACAGTTTGTATACAAACAAGCCCGATTCTGTAAAACGGATGTGCATGCAAAATTCAAGGTCTGGAATAAGACTTAAACCCAGAAGTGGACAAACAGCCAGAACTTTCCGCCGGAGTTTACAGCTGAAGAGAAGACAAAGCTTCAGTGGTCACTCCACACGGCACCATTCTTTTCATATGAATTAACTATCAGAGCTTAAACATTGTTCATTTAATCTCAAAGGGCCTTGACCCAATCTGGTCATCACTAATCTCTCTGCCTGTTGGTTTGACAACACGCCTTGCCAGCCTAGTCGAACAGCCCTGTGCTAGGCTTCGCTGCCCTAAGCGACGTCCATTGGCGATGAACCCGTATACACTTCCCCTGCTTCTGAATACTTCTTCTTTTTCTAGTTCACCAGCTGTAAACTCTGGCGGAAAGTTATGGCCGTGCATCCACTTCTGCAGTCCTGTTCCAAAACCTGAGTGTTGTGTGTGTATCCGTTTTACAGATCTTACTCCTTTGAATGCAGATAGCTAGTTCCTTGCCTTTCAGGCAGATGCATTCCGACTTTAAAAGAAGCTCTCAATTAGTCGACTCTTACGACATGCTTTTGCGCTGGCAATGGGTCTATTTTTTTGTTTTTCCTATAATAGGGCCCTGGAACCCAAATAGGGACCCCTGAATACAAAACCGTAAGTATGGAAAAGCAATTCTCTAACTGGGTTCTGCGGCATTCTGGGGTGCCAGGGCAATAATCAAGAAAAGTCGGCTAAAAGTTGTAAAATTATTAAAGAAGGCACGGAAAGTAAAAGTAAAGGTCCCTTTTCCCGCCTTTAGGCGTTTAGGGCTAGACCTATATTTGATAGACCAATCGAGACTAGGTGGGTGATGTGGTCAGCATTACGCGGGCCGTCTCTACTATCCAGGACTGCACTTGACACCCAATCAGGACTGTGTCGACTACTGGATCATCTTTATAAACAGATAATGGTTTAAACTCTTATCACGTCCAGTATTATATACTGTTAAGCGCCACACGCTTTTATTAGTCGTATTATCTATCGTTGTCTTCCCCGTAAGCCTGTAAACAGTGCTCTCTTTCGCTCTAACACCCCTCCCCTTGCTTGCTCTCTCTCTCTCTCTCTCTCTCTCTCTCTCTCTCTCTCTCAATCTTATCCCTAGTTCTGCCTTTGTGCTGCTCCCTCTCTCTCTCTCTCTCAACTCCGTCTGCCGTTCTCTCTCAACAGTCTTTATCTCCTTCTTTCTTATTGCTCTCTGAACCGACTCTCTGTTTGTTCTGTTTATCTGTCTGTCTGCTGCCGATATTCCTCGTTCTTTCTGCCTACAGCCTGTCCCCCCAGCGCCCGCATGTGTGTCTCCCTACGACATTTTAAGTTTCAAAAAAAAAAAAAAAAAAAACCGCCCTTGAAAATAGAATCGCCTCTATGATTACACAATCGCTAAACCGCGCTTGTAGACACTAATTATGTTGATATGTAATTACTACCTTTACCGATGCATAATTAGTGAATCGTTCCTCGTGTAAATATTGACTCATTCCGCATGAAAATTACTAACTCCAGTGCATCACACAGTGACTCTAATGAAGGGTAATTACTTGACTCCACGGCGTGTAATAAGTAGCACACATCAGAAAGCAATGTCTAACTCTATTAACGTGTACTCACTGCTTGAGTCTGTAATTAATACTTACAGCCTCGCCTGTGTAGAACACAATGAAATAAATGTTGCGTCAAGATCATCGCTGTCGAGCAGTGTTTCTCAACCCTTCGACCCACGGCCCACTTTCCTTTTTTCTTAGAAACATCATCACCACGTGCATGCGCATTTGCCTAACCTGCCAGGAACCAACAGCCTGCGTACAAGCAAGCAAGATCTGTAAAACGAATGCGCACGTACATTTCAAGTTCTGGAACAATACTGAATCCAGAAGTGGACGAACGACCAGAATTTTCCGTCAGTGTTGACAGTCGGTATACGCGAATAGGCAAAGTATGCAGGAATAAACCACAAGTCCCATGCTACGCATAAACGACAAAAAAAAAAAAAAAAAGAATAATGCCGATACGACATGTATGTATACATAGAGAGTGGTCGAAAAACATGTACCTTTTAACCCCCCCCCCCCCCCTTTTTCCATGTAATATTATAATATGTTATATACCAAAAACTCAGGGGCTGTTGGGGTTGGTTCTGCAACGTCCTGTAAAGGATTCGCAACTAAAGTTTATACACCGAAAGAAAGGTAATATCACAGTTCTGTTCCCTACATTACACAGGTACAATATGGGCTCCCTTCGTGACACGGCAGATAACTAGTCGACAGCCAATGTCCTGCTATACTCGGATCAACATGTCTTTTTTCCAAAAACTGCCAATGACCGCCTTTATTATACCATCTTTGCGGTGTAGGCAGGGTGTCTTTGAGCCTGACGATTAACGGCCGCATGGCTTGTGCTGTCGCCACGACTGTGCAGGGGAGGATTTTATTTTGCCCCAGACTTTAACAAACAAATCCCCAGCCTTACCGTGGATTCGAACCTCGGGCTTGCGCTTGAGAGCCCAGCGATCTAACCATTTGATCAGCCGCTCCGTCATTTTTTTGTAACGGTAGTAAAGGCCGTCTGACAGGTCACGAAAGGTATCCGTATTGAATCTTCGCAATGTACAGGAAAAAGCGCGCGAGAATTTGTGTCTGTGTGTGAAAAAGGTGCATTCTTTTTCGTACACCCAGTGTGTGAGTGCGCGCGCGCGTGCCTGCGTGTGTGTGTGTGTGTGTGTGTATATATATATATATATATATATATATATATATATATATATATATATATATATATATTACGACTGAGATTATTTGAAGATACAGACTTCATAACATAATTTCCCTGTTTCTTGTTTTTCATATCAAATATACTTGCAACTTGACATCTAAATCTCGCAGATAAAAAAAGGCTTAGCAACACGATTCTTTATTCTTGCTTTTCTAAGAATGAATTCTAAAATAGTTTAGCAGTCTGGAGAGAGAGAGAGGAAGAGAGAGAGAGAGAGAGAGAGAGAGAGAGAGAGAGAGAGAGAGAGAGAGAGAGAGAGAAAGGATGAAAAACTGAAATAGCGAAGAGATATAAATAGAACAGAGAAGTACACAGACTAACGTACTTACCGTAGCCGGCATTTGTCGGTAATCCAATTCTCATTGGGTTGAAAGGTGGCTTCTGAGCACTGCTTGCAGAAGTACTCTGTCGTCGACGAGGGCAGACAAGGAGTTAGCATGTGGCCTGCGGGAACAGAACAAGAACATATATATCTAGGTTACTTGCGTATCCTTTACAGGACATTGCAGAACCAACCCCAACAGCTCCTGGCTGTTGCATGGTTTTTCGAGGCAAATTTACATCCAGTAGTTTGCCATTGCTTTCTGGACGGTCGACTTTCTTGATACCACTGTCGAAACCAACGCAAGGCGCATGGCCCGCAGCTGGGATAGAACCCGGCATCCCGGCATTACGAAGCGTTCGTATCGACTTAGCCACAGAGCCGACCACAATATATATGTGTGTATATATATATATATATATATATATATATATATATATATATATATATATATATATGGGAGTCACCGTGGCGTTGGCGGCTAGATGCCCGCCTCCGGAAGGTCGTGGGTTTGTGCCCTGACGAAGGCGGGATTTTTTTTAAATCTTTCAAAAATGACCTTGAGTCCTAGGTCGACCCAGCCTTGAGCAGGTAAGAGGTGCAGTCTTAGGAAGTAAAGGCGGCCAGCGTGATGCTGACCAAATCACCTACCAAGTGCCGACTGGTCTAAAAAAATATAGGTCTAGCCGTATATTGCTAATACGCCTAAAGGCGTGGAAAAGGAACACTTACTTTACCACACACACACACTAAACACACACACATCCACACTCGACTAGCTTTAATTATAATATAATTAACCAGCACACTGGCAACAAAGACTGAAAATGAAGTGGTATGGAATGCAATAAGGCTTCACAAAAACAATACTACAGGGCACCGTTTATATAGTACAGAGCCAAAAGGTTTACAACTCATGCTTTCTGGATACTTCAAGAAAAAAAAAATGGATTATACAACGGATCAACTTCATGGCACACGGGTAATAACCCAAAAGCGCTCCGTTATACTTCTAACTCCTGAGTCCCAATAATCTCGGCGCAAGTGCACGAACTCTGTAGCACCTTAATTTTATGAGATTAACTGGTGTAATTTAAAACGGTAGGGGGCCTCAGGACAATATTTTGCTTATCGCCTCATCGAGTATAAATCCAGTCCAGGTCTACATTCATTTGTCACATCATATGAAGCTGAAAACTGAAGTACATCTTCACATCATGCGAAGGTGAAAACCGGAGTACATCTTCACATCATGTGAAGATGAAAACCGGAGTACATCTTCACATCATGCGAAGATGAAAACCGGAGTACATCTTCACATCATGTGAAAATGAAAACCGGAGTACATCTTCACATCATGTGAAAATGAAAACCGGAGTACATCTTCACATCATGTGAAGATGAAAAACCGGAGTACATCATATTGCGAGACAGTTGAAAGTGAAGAGTGGTAGAGGGAGAAAACTGGGGTATGTATTATTATGCTGTTGCTGCTTTTGCTGGCTGCTGCTGCTGCTGCGACTACCACTACTACCTCGCATTCAAAGACCGTACACAACAGTGGACAGTTCTGGCTGATCGTCTACTTCTGAACCTCAGAAGTGTTTTAGAACGTCACTTTGTGAGGACCCTCGTTTTATAGATCTGGCTTATTAGTATGCAGACTGTTGGTTTCTCGCATATCAGGCAGATGCACTGCGACTTTGAAGGAAATACTCGAAAGTAGGCTACTTTCACGACATGGTTGTTAGAAGGCAGTGGGTCTACACTTTCTTCCCCCACACCCCTTTCGAACTTACAATGGGACCCCTGACACCCACACGGGGAGGGGTGTATTTTCACAGTAGGAATGCTGGAGAGGAAAGAAAGGCAGAGAGCGAAACCAAGAGAGAAGATACTAGACAGTCTGTGGCATTATGACATGCAGTACCAACTTTTTTTTTTTCAAACGCCTGCAAATACACGAGACATAAGGCTACTGACAGACACGATAACCAACGAGAACAGGGAAAGAGGAAAACTGTAGTGTGTTCTGGCGGTGGGGAAGCTGGGGAAGGAAGAAAGGCAGAAGGAGCCAAGAGAGAAGATGCTGGACAGTTTGACATCATGGCATGAAAAGTCCTCCGTGTCACAGATGGCTGAGAATACACAAGACCTCTATAAACAGACATGGCTACTAACGATACACAGCGTCAATTATACACGGTCCGACAATTAAGTGATGAAACTGATTTTATTATGGCTAAGACAAAAATGCAATTTATGAATCACAGTATGGAATCCAAAGAGGCAACCTTCGTCTATGATCTGGCAACTTTTCATCGCCGCCCGATAAGCAGACAACAAACAAGCCGTTATTTTGTTAACCTGGTCAGATGTGCATTGTTACGTAAATCAGCATGGAGCACACACAAAAAAAAAAAAAAACTAATATTAAATTCTGTTTGAATCTCAGAAAAAGTGCCAATGCGACAGTCGAATTGATGCGACAAGTTTACGGGGATAATTGCTTATCTCGTGCACAGATTTCAGCTGACATTCCCGATTTAAAAGTGGTGTGGAAATTATTACAAATGCAACTAGACCTGGACACCTAATTTCTGTTAGTAATGAGGAACTCATTGCAAAATTCAGAGAACGGATACAAGAAGATCGTTGTTCGACTATGAGGACGATGGTAGATGAAATTTGTGTTAATACAGAGACTATTCGTAATATTTTAGTGGAAGATTTGGGCAAGAAAAAAGTTTCTGACCGGTTTGTATTCAACACCTAGGAATTTTTTTCTTCTTCATGACAATGCACCAGCTCAAAGAGCGGTAGTTGTACAGGAATTTTAGGCCCCAAAACAGGTGCGTGTTCTCAACCATCCACCATATTCCCTCAGATTTGTCTCCCTGTGACTATTTTCTATTCCTAAAATTAAAGTTGCCATTCAAAGGACACTTTTCTGACGATGACATTCAAAGGGTCGTAACATTGACTTTATGGGCCATAAGCACGAAAAAAACTACATAGGTCGTTCGAGTGTTTGTTAGCTCGTGCCACCTGCTGTATCAATGCACAAGGGGATTACTTTGAATTAAATACAGGTTAAATCTTTAACTGTTGATTTTTTAAATTGTTATCGAATTAGTCTCATTACTTCATTGGTAGGAAAAACTAATCAATCATCTACAACTTAACTACCTTGTTAGAAAAAAATATTTTCCTTGTAAACATCGAGTAAGCAATTCTCGTATAAAGGACACGCCAACAACCACGAGACCTAAACAATCGCTTCAAACACAGAAAACAGTCAGTCACACAAATAATGAAGGGTTATGTTCGACATAAACTATCGATTACCATGGCGTGAGTTTCAGAATTCCTACACGTAGAATCGATTAGGCTTTTCCTCCCTCCAGCGCCACGCAGATAATTTTATACTGCTCTACTGTTAACGCTTAATCTTTTTATTTGTCACCCATGTGTATTGTCAATGGCTCATCTGAAGGCTGTAAATATATCACATATCCACTCTGCCACCATGTCACACGTTTATTTTGTCAAATACCAAGCAACTATTTGTTAACATGTCATAGACCTGTATTATACCAACATGTCACACATGTGTATTCTGTCAACATGTCACAAATGTGTATTCTGTCAGCATGTCACACACATGAATTCTGTCAATGGCTCACCTGTAGGTTGTAAATATATCACATATGCACTCTGCCACCATGTCACACGTTCATTTTGTCAAATAACAAGCAACCATCTGTTAACATGCCATAGACCTGTATTATATCAACATGTCACACACATGAATTCTGTCAGCATGTCACACACATGAATTCTGTCAACATGTCACACACATTAATTCTGTCAACATGTCACACACATGAATTCTGTCAACATGTTACACACATGAATTCTGTCAACATGTCACACACATGAATTCTGTCAACATGTCACACACATGAATTATGTGTGAGGCATATGGCGCCTTAAGTAAAACTAAAAACTGCACCCCCACCGCCCACATATATCGATGCCAAAAACGCTGTTTAGTTAGTCTACTGATTGCAGTTAAGGGCCCTAACTAAGTATGACTAGACAATCTAATCCTACAATTCAAAGTCGGACACTGCGCCTCTCACTAAGAACGACCCCCTAGGCGACTGTCTGGTTTAGTCCACTCATACAACCTTATCCGTAGAAGGAATAAGACTGGGTTGTTTAGACACCCTCTCTCTCTCTCGTGACTGTCTCTCATTTCTCGAGGCTGAAAGGGATCATTCCCGATTACAGCCTCCACTACGGTATTATACGTCATTAGACTTCTACTGTTCGTTCCTGTAAATTGCAAAGAACTCTCTCTCTCTCTCTCTCTCTCTCTCTCTCTCTCTCTCTCTCTCTCTCTATCTCCCTCTGTCTCCTCCTTCAGGGTAACCCCGAAGGCGTTAGGTTCAATTCCAGTTCGAGACAGATTTTAAAAGAGCACTGAATCCAGCACTGAGCCAGCCTCAAACGCCTACCCCTGAGATAAAGGCAGCCAGCTTCATAATGATCAGCATTCAAAGAATACCAAGCGGCCTATAATAATTATAACACAAATCAATGCTTTAATTTTAATTCACCTCATACAAAAAAAAATACGAGAGTTCCCGAGACCTTACAATAATCTAGCGGTGTTATGAGTTGGGGTAAGTGTTAGTCAGTGTCTCTGAGGTAATCAGGGCTGACAAAGATCGGTGTCATTTCGTGCCAGGGTGCGCAGGCATGCTTTTCCCACTGTCCCACCAAATTCATTTCAAACCATAAACCCCTAGAATATTAGACTTTTCCGGGTTACCTTTTTGGGGTTGAATTAGAATTGAAGCACCAAAAGGGTCACTTACTATTGACATTTCTATTCTTTCCCATGTTTTATTGCCAACTGCCCTATCTCTTTCTCATGTGATAAATAAAAGGTTCAATTTTCCCCCCTCTCTTACTTAGATCGACGCCCTATGCGACTGTTTAGTCAGTCTACTGACTGCAGCTAAGCCCACTAAATATATCTCTACAATCTAATCCTACAATGGGAATTTCGACATTGCAGTCCCTCTTATTAGATTGATTATAGAAAGCTGTC